CCTCCAGCACTCACAGGATCCCACTCATCCCACACCTTATAACAGCTGTGAACTGGTTTAAACTGGCCACAAACCAATACACAGGAGCCAAGCCCAAAACAAGCATCCCAAAACAGCAGGGCCAGCCCCACAGGTCCCAGTAGGGCTGTGTCCTGCCACGTCCAGCTGCCCACCTGGGCCAGGGACCCGGGGACCCACCTGCCTCCTGCAGGTGACCTGGGTGGACAGGGATGTTCTTGTGCTCCCAGCCCCGTCTGCACCCTGCAAGGCGCTGGTGAGGGGGTGGCAGGACCAGCCCTGGAGAGCTGTGGCAGTATCTGTGCAAGGATGCTGTGCCCATGGCAGGAGGGGTGACACAGCCCATGGCAGCTCCTCCTGGGAAAGAGGATATGGGGACATGCTCTGGGGAAGGATGTGGTGCCGCTGATTAAATCCAGAGTGGGGAAATAGGGGGCTGCCAGTGGCAGGGCTGACGGAAAGGGCTGGGAGGGCTGCGGGGCTGTGCCGCTGTTCAGAAGGATTCTGTGTGAGCGGATGGAGGGGGAAGGACGCGGGCACAGCCGCAGCACCCTGCAGGGACAGGGACACGGCAGGGCCTGCCCAGCGCTGCCAGCAGAGAGCAGCCACGCTGCTCGCTGTGCCCATGCCGTGCCCACCGCCACCGCTCGGCCCCCGGGAGCAAACGGCGGCTGTGTGCACTGCAAACACGGCGGCGACACCGCAAACAGCCGCGGTCCGGCACAGGGCGGCTGAGCTGGAGCCCGCTGGACACGGCAGGATCCAGCCCCATTAGCAGCTGGAGCAGGGCCAGGCACCACCACGGCAGAGTCACGTTTGGGAAAGGGCGGGTGGGAGCGTGGGTTCCTGAGTCCTGTACCTGCCTGGCAGGAACTGAGGCCGAGGATGTGGCCCAGGGTGTCCAGGCTGTTTGCTCTGTGATACCAGCGGGTGCCATGGTGTGTGCAGGGGTGGGTACCATGGGGAGACCCCTGGCAGAAGGACCCATGGATAAGGAGCATCAGGGATGTCCTGAGGCACCCAGACCTTCCCGGAGTTCACCTCCCCCTCCTGTGGGGGCTGCCTCAACAGCATGAGATGGGGCATGACTGGCAGCAGGCACGGGCAGGGAGGCTGTGAGGGCCTGCAGGAGGTGGGAAGGGGTCATGGCAGGCTGTGGGAGGCAGAGGGGAAGAGGCAGCAAGAAGCAGAGGCAGGCAGGTCAGCAGCCTGCACACATCCCCCCCTTGCCCGCTGCCAGTCCTCTGTGCCAGCTGACGTGAGCTGGTGCCTCCCTCTCCCGAGATGCCAGGGCAGCTGGCAAATGCTGCCCTCATACACTGCCCGCACACGCCCAGCCCGGCCTTGGCGATGTGGTGGGGGCCTGGCAGGGGCAAAAAATTCCATCCCAACCTGGGGGCCTCCCCAGGAGCCAGGGTGCAGGACTGCCCCTCGCCCGTGCCACCACCTCCCTCCACTGCCAAAGGCTTTGGGCTCCTGATGGCCGGAGGAGGCGGAAGGAAAACATCCAGCAAACAATTGCAAAAGTCAAGTCTGAGCAAGAAGGAGGGTGTGAGCGGGGGGGGTGCCAGATCCGGTGGTATTCCTTGGAGACAGCAACAACAATGGCAGGAATATTTGCTCATGCCTAGCTGAGCCCAAACCAGCCATGGGCCGGGGGCTCGGGACCTCGAGGAACTGACCAGGGGCCTCTGCTGCCCCAAAGGAGAGCTGGGGCAGGACCCTGCACTGACCTGGCACTGATGTCAGTGACATTTTTTGTGCTGTCACCTGTGCTGAGGATGAGGCCAAACACAGCACACGGCTGCCAGCATGGTGAAGGACATGGGGAAGCTCTGGCAGTGCCCAAACACAACAGGCTGGGACAGGGACAAGGACGGTGGCTGGCTGGGGGGGTGTTGTGAGATGAGGCTGTGACTCAATCACTTGACTCAATCACAGCATAGGAGCATGAATGGGGCTTTGGGGACAGAAAGGGTCTCAGCTGCAATCTCAGATTGCCACCACCTCCTCAGCCCACTGCTAGTGCAGTAGCACACGAGTGGCAGAGTGGCAGTCTGTCCTCTTTCTGAGGACCATCCCATCCCCAAGGCCAGGAAGAGGTGCAGCCCTGACTCCTGAGGTGCTGCCTGTCACCTGATGCTAGTTTTGTGAGCTGCACTGTCTCCCCCAGCACCCTCGGGGCCCCTCGGCCACCTGCCAGCAGGGTTTGGGGCCACGGGAACCATCGGGATCCCTCTCCTGTCCCCTTGGCTGGGGCCACACTTTTCCCTGGCCGTCTCCTGCCCTCTGCACTCTGCGGAAACCCTTTATCTCCCTGGGCTCTCACCGCCCG